CTGTGCTCGCTCAAATTGAGTGCGTAGTGAATAGTCGCCCACTTTGTCGTACGTTATCTAGTGATCCCTCGGAGTCGCTAGCTCTAACTCCAGCACATTTTTTGAATTTTTTGATTTATTTTCCCGCCGTAGATATGGATGAGAACAAACTTAGCATTTCCGCACGTCACAAATTATTAGACCGGTTAGTGCAATCGTTTTGGAAACGATGGAGGATGGAATACTTGCATACTTTGCAGTCTCGGCAAAAATGGAACACAGCAACTGAACCTTTAACTGTAGGAACTGTGGTTGTGCTCACCAAAGAGAATACGTCGCCTCTCCATTGGCCATTAGGGATTGTCGAAGAGGTTTTTCCCCGGTTCCGACGGAGTAATTAGGGTAGCTCGCGTTAAGATCACGGTTGGGTCTTACATGCGTCCTATTGTCCGGTTGTGCCCCTTACCTCTTCCATAGTTTAAGTTAGCTTTCTAGATTAGAAATGGTAGTTGAAATTTAGGTTTAATCTTAGCGTTAGTTAGTTATTTTGTTAGTTTGATATTAACTTTAGTTGTTTTAGTTATTTTTTAAGGAAATCCTTCAAGCCGGGTGGGATGGTTGCGCGGAAAACCATTCGTAATTTTACTATATTCGACGGTATGCTTGCCAAGGTCTGTCCTTCCTTCGACCTTTCCTTCACCTGTTGTCCCTTTCGACACACCGGGGTGGTGGGGTGAGAGGGGAAAGAAGACAGTTCTAGAATGTCACGTGATCTTCGAAACCGAAGTAATATAAACGCGCGCGCGGCCCACGCGCGCTCTCTTCCTTCCGGCCGCCAGTTGGAACCACACCTCCTAGGACAGTCGTGTCCTAGAGGGATTTGCCCACGCGCACCGCTAGTTCAACCGCTTAGCCTTAAGCAGTCGAGCTTCAAGAGTGTGTCATGCTATAGTCGCCATTTTGTGGAGTTTTCTTTACTGCCAAGTACGTGGTATATCAGAACTAAAAAAGATGATTAGTGGACATGGCCGTGATTCTTTACGTGAATACGTGTACCTAATGAAACGGATTCAAATTGGCGGCACTCCCCAATCCAACACGCGCGATGCGTCACGGTTTTCACTCAACGTAAAGTGTTCTTTGATCATTCAGCTATCGAGCGGTCTAATTAAATTTCAAATGTAGATAATAGATATGTGGCAGTAACAGCAATCGGTATCCCAATTTTGTTTCTATCAGTTTCCTGAATTGCCTACCACTGTGGAAGCAATTTTTTTTTAATTTATTAACATTGTAAATACAATTGGTTCAAAAAACATTAAGTTCGCCAAACTGAGAATACAGTTTATTGGCGAAACTGCACTCATTAAGGTTTACAATTGCATTTTAATATTTCTCTAAAATAAATTTTAAAACAAAACATATTAGTAAACATATAAAGTAATTAAAAACTAAAGACTAAGTAGGTAAATTACACTTATCACTAAATTAATAACAAAGCTATAAAAGACAGAAAACGAATATCTTAAATTAAATTAATAATGAATAAAGATTAATAAAAAATAATTAAGATTAATAATTAATAATAAACTAAATATTACTACTACTAATACTACAGGTCGTCGATGGCATTCAGTAGCCAATATTTCAATTTGTTTTAAAAATTTGTTTTGTCCGACAGGCCTCTTGTGGCACGTTTTCATTAAATATTCTTGGCACTAAATACCTACGCGTCCTTTCACCAAAGTAGTTTTGCGCACTTGGCTCCTCAAACAGTTTACGAGTATTCTTTCTTAAATTACCATAAATTGATTTCCTAACTAAAAATTTACTTTTGTAACCTCCAATTGCTAATAAATACTTTGTTTTTTCACGTACTGGTAGAATATTGCATTTCTTAAACAATAGATTATAGTTACCCTTACTTTTCCCTCTAGCTTGCTTATTAACTAACAGTTTAATAAATCTTAGTTGAAGATTATGTATCCTATCCATGTACGTTCGGAACGTACGTCCATAGGCTGAAAGGCCATAATTAATTACAGAATACACGAGAGGATAGTACAGAATGCGTAAAGTTGTTTTATCAACTACACTTTTAAGGTGTACAAACTTACATAATAACGATCTTAATTTATTACATACTCGTTCTATATGGAAATTCCAACTAAACTTAGTATCTATGGTTAATCCTAGATATTTGTAATTATCAACAAGCTCAATCGATTTACAACCAATGCATTGTTTATTTCTATGCAAGCAATCATACGAATGGCCCATGATATTTATAGGTATACATGGTTTATGCAGGTATGGCGATTGAATGAGCATGCATTTCGTTTTCTCTATATTTAAAATTATTCCATTATCGTGGGACCATTTGATTATGTTATCAAAATCCGATTGTATTTTGTTCTCAATCACTTTTATATCCCTGTCAGCATACATCATGCATGTGTCGTCAGCATACATGTATGTTCTGCAGTTTTTTACAACGTTTACCATGCTATTTACATGCATGATATAGCCCACAGGGCCAAACACAGAGCCAGTAGGAACTCCAGTACTAACTAATTTACCATGACAAATGGTTTCTTTTATCTTTGTGCACAACATTCTGTTATGTAAATAATTACGAAACCATGAGCTGATGAAATCATGAAACGCTTTTTTAAAATCTATGAATAAAAGAAATACATACTGCTTAATACCTAAGCATTCGTTGATATCGTCGGTGAAAATAGATAAGGCCGTCGTTGTACTACGTAATTTTCTAAATCCGTGCTGTTTTTCTGTAATTATGTAGTTTTTTTCTAGATACTCACTAATTTTCTTAACTATCAATTCTCCACTATTTTATTAATAACAGACAATATTGCAATAGGTCTATAGTTTGAATAATTGCAATGGTCTCCTTGCTTATAAACAGGGCGGATAATAGAATTTTTTAAACTGTCTGGGTATAAGCCTGTTTTAAAACTAAGGTTTACAAATTTTGCTAATATTAGACTTATTTTTTCTTTAACTAAAATTAGATCTTGCGGCCTTACTCCATCTAAACCTTGTGATTTTTTACTATTTAGTTGACTAATTATTTTTTTATTTCAATTTCCGTTACCTTTTTTATAATAGAAAGGATTATCACTCAATTTTACATAGGACTCGCGATTTAGAAATTTAATATTACATTGATGTTTTATTTTATTAATACTTTTGTTAATGTTTCTGAGAATTTTGAACATATGTCACTTAAACTATTGATTTTTCCTAGATACTTAATTACTACGTCATCTAAACTATTTTTACAGTTTCCTAGCCAGCAATTTATTGTTTCCCATAATTTCCTAAAGTCTCCCTGACAGCGTGATAGTTCCTGCCTTCTATAATTATTTTTAGCTTTGTTAATAATTTTATTTGTTTGATTTCTGTGTTTCGTATATTCTAATCTATAAGTAACATTTTGAGGACTAGTCTTCCACCTGCGGAATAAATAATCTCTTCTATCTATCAATATTTTAATTTTGTTAGAGATCCACGGCTGTATTACTCGTTTTTTTTCTATTACAATTAAGGCTAACTTTAGCTTTATCGTAGATAGGTGCAAAAACATTACACAATTGTTCATAAATTATCAAAGGACAGTCTATCTCTACGAGCTTACTCCAATCAACCTGCTCTAATTCACGAGTTATTACTTTATTATTCAAAGTATACACTTTATATTTGGCACTAGTAAGACTTATTCTATTTACCCCTTTTGATTCTTTGGTAATACTTACACCTACCATATAGTGATCCGACAACTTGCACGTAAACATAATATGTGAAGAGAATCGGCGGCTGCGTGTATGTACCCACACATGATCAATGCACGACGTTACGAGTCTACCGGCTAATATTACCTCGCGAGTACAGTCATTGATAACGCTCTGCATTCCGTAACTATACATTGCGTTTTTGTATTTATCGGTGGTTGTATTTTTTTCTAATAAGTTGATATTCATATCACCTGCAATAATGACGTCCTCGTATTCGGGAATTTGCTTAATTAGTACAGATAATTCTTGAATACAGCATAACTTATTTGTGTTTGGCGGTTTGTATACGGTGATTATGTGTATGGTGGTGTCAGAGCTCTTAAGTTGACTGTGCAATATTTTCAAACCACAGCTTTGCGGGTTTACTGTTTGCAGGCGCAATTCATTTTTAGAGTACACTAATAAGCCCGTGCATATCATACCCATCTATACAATATAACGGCAGCTCCACTTGTCTGATATTTATTTCACTTAATAATAAAATATCTATGCTAAAATTAGTGCGCTCAAGCAATATTAGTAATTCATTAAACTTCTTCTTAAGAGAACGAATATTTAGGTGAATTATTTTTAGGTCCTCCGTGGATGTTTTTAAGTATGTGCTCCACGCATTTGCATCTAGAATTTTTTTATACTCATATTTATCCTCGATGTGTGATAAAATATCATCCATTTTGTGGATTTAGGTATTCACATACAATGAATTTATTTACTATACGCTGCTGTTGTCAGTATTGAAACACATATTATTGATATCTGCATCCGAACGGATCCAGCGTATTTTCGAGTTATCGTCTTTTTTAGCCAAAACTTTAAGGTTTTGTTGCCATATGTGTTTATGGACGTATTTTAACATTTTCTTCGCGTTCCATAACAATTGTCGCGTTTTTTTAGGAAGATTTTCATTTATATATACCCGCTTCACTTTTGAGACATGATTCACACAGCTGGGTTCTTTAGAACTCCTTTACGTTCGATAAGCATTTTTTGTGATACTCAGAGTCACATGAACCTTTACACTTAATAACATCATCTTTTGCTAAAGAAACAAGTAACTTGCACTTTCTACACTGAACCATTTTACTTGATACTACCTACGAAATACAGAAATAATAATGAGCAACACGTCCGTACGCTGAGTGCGCGCGCGCGGAAATTTAGAGACGTATTCACGTCAAAAGTAGTTAGAACCAGTATAATTACCTGACTCCTGGTTCATCGCGCAGTGGTGATCCATCGGAAGCCAGCCAGCTGATGCGTGGTGGTGGATCCCCACTGGCGGCACAGTGTAAGCGCGCGCCCGCCGTCCCCACCACCACCAGTGCTGGCGGCTCAGCCGTCAGCACCGGCCCCAAAGGCACCAGCTCGCTCACTGATACTATCAAACGTTGACTTTAAGTTTATGGTTCTTTAAAAACAAAGTTCTAATCGTGTAGTAGTGGCGTAAGAGTACCCACAATGCCATATGCATTTTTGTCCACAATGCTAACAACGCATCTGCATGTTGATTCTAAATCGAGGATGAATGTAGATTCCTATGGGTCACAGCATCCAAGTACCATCAAGCGGATTGTATGCTTGTTTGTTACTGTATTCTTATCTTATAGAAAATATCTTCCCGTGGGTGTCGCAAGCTGCGACAGAGGAAACACTGAAACAGGAGATGGGCAATAGCATATTTCCGATAACAGCTGGATGTAGAAAAAAACTTTGGTTGTCATCCCGCTTGCCAAGCAATGCAAGTATGGAAAAATCCCCTGTTGTGCAAACTATAGGGGAGGCCTGTCTTCAACTGCAGATTTTTTAGTTTGAAACAAATGGGATGGATGGAAAGAAAGATCTATGAATAGATGTGGTTGCGGTGTGAAATCTATTTAAGTGTGCAAAATAGTACATAGGGCAGGCATAATGCCAAAGGGCATTCTCCCCATATTCCCTAACTAGTACATAGGGCAGGCATAATGCCAAAGGGCATTCTCCCCATATTCCCTAAATAGTATATAGGGCAGGCATAATGCCAAAGGGCATTCTCCCCATATTCCCTAAATAGTACATAGGGCAGGCATAATGCCAAAGGGCATTCTCCCCATATTCCCTAAATAGTACATAGGGCAGGCATAATGCCAAAGGGCATTCTCCCCATATCCCCTAAAAAGTACATAGGGCAGGCATAATGCCAAAGGGCATTCTCCCCATAATCCCTAAATAGTACATAGGGCAGGCATAATGCCAAAGGGCATTCTCCCCATATTCCCTAAATATTACATAGGGCAGGCATAATGCCAAAAGGCATTCTCCCCATATTCCCTAAATAGTACATAGGGCAGGCATAATGCCAAAGGGCATTCTCCCCATATTCCCTAAATAGTACATATGGCAGGCATAATGCCAAAGGGCATTCTCCCCATATTCCCTAAATAGTACATAGGGCAGGCATAATGCCAAAGGGTATTCTCCCCATATTCCCTAAATAGTACATAGGGCAGGCATAATGCCAAAGGGCATTCTCCCCATATTCCCTAAATAGTACATAGGGCAGGCATAATACCAAAGGGCATTCTCCCCATATTCCCTAAATTTCTCTTGCATCTGACATTGCTGCCCGTTCAGATCTTTTTAACATTTTCTACGGTCACCTCTTATAAAATCTAAGAGATGAAACGAGTTGACCCTCTTACATTATCTCGCCCAACCTAGTGAAACCTAGTGTAATATAACAAAATATAACCTACTATATTAGACCTATTTAGTTAAATTTGTAAAAAATAATTCATTCTAGAAAATTAAAGCTAGCTTTCGTCAACTATGACGTCACGATTTCAAATACCTCAGTCTTGTCCAAGACCATGAGTGCTGTAAAGTGCCTGAATCGTATAAAAATTGAAATTAAACAGTTGCAGTAGTGAAAAGAGCTGAAGTATAATAAAATAAAAGGAAAATTAAATGAAAATGAAATAACGAGCCTAGAAGTCCGACTGGGTCAAAGGTTGGGGATAGGTTAGAGGTCGCTCCCACCGATTTCTGCAGCTAAATACCAGTGTTTGTACTCCCGTGTTCAGGTGTAAGGTATATAGAGAGTCAGTATAGTACAGGCTGTGAGACATTCCATCTTAATTTTCAGGGTCGCCAATTATTCTGTAGCCTTCTTTGTTAGAAGATGGCTGCCGGTGGCCACGGCTACAGGAGCAAGTTATCATAACGTGAACTGTAAGGTCATTTGTTCTTGCAGTTTAATAAATAAAAATAATCTTCTTTTTATTTTCTTAGAAAAATTGTTAAACAAATGAATTTGAAAACGTTGGATTTTTGTTTTCAAAACTTTGTAAATAATACGTTGCGTTCTGATAATACTCGACATATTTCCATAATGTTTATTTCATTTTTTCATTTAGAAGGATATTGTACTGACAAAGGATATTCCGCTGCAGTTAAAAAGATTTCATTAAAAATTTTAGGTGCGGGTGCCCATTGTGTCTCAAGTGAATCATAAATAAAAATATCATTTCAAGTGGTATCTCGGTAAAACTTCTCAAAATTTCATCAAAACGCTGGACAAAGGCGCGCGACTCTTTGTTATCTCTTTAGTTTAGGCTACAGTAACAGTTTTATCTCGGGACGGGCGCTTTAATACTAAACCCTGTCTCTCCAGACCGATCGCAAACTTTTAACCACTTAAAAGTACGAGGGCAGATGGAGTTACGAAGATGGTAGACTAGAAAAAAAAGCAGAAGTTTCCGAAACTTTCACTGCGGTCGCTCGTGAATCGTCCTCAAACGTGTAATTCAGTTGACTTCGTGTTTGCTGGAAGTAGTTTGTGTTTACTTTTACAGATAACTTCAGTGAGTTGCACGCTCAGCTCGAGTTCGCAAACAAACAAAGTAGCGGAATTATCGCACTGCGTAATTAACTAATGCGGATGTCTTTGTTCTCAGTAAATATTCTAGGCAAAGTGCGACTTGGCAGAATTTAGAATAAAATTAGTATTGTTAACACTCATAGTGTAGTGGCAGCGTAAGTGAAATCAATTAACCCCCAATAATATCCGTAATATCCCGCAGATGTTATAAAAGTCGACAGAGTGATACTAAAACAATAAATGGGTAACAGTGTCTTTCTGATAACAACTAAATAATAAAACTACAACTTCTGCCTAGCGTGGCAACTATGTATATATTAGGTGTTAACCTATGAAATTGCCGTTTTTTATGAAACAAAATAATGTCATTTTTATATTTTTTTTTATTTCTGTTAATCAAAGTCAATCAACCCTGCAATCGATGCATCTTTGCCAACGCAGTAGCAGTTTATTGTTGCCCTTCTTGCAGAAATCAGCTGGACGGGAGGCAACAAATTCTTCAAAAGCATTTTGTACTGCCCCTCGGGTATTGAATTTTTTTTCCCGCCAAAAATTATCCGAATTCTGGAAAAAGTAGAAGTTTATAGGTGCAAGGTCTGGTGAGTACCACGTATGACGGAGAGCTTCCAAATCCAGCTCTTGTAACTCGGAGACCGCTACTGTGTAGCAATAAGAGGTCGCGCGTTGTCGTAGCGGAGCAGCGGGGACGAGCGATTGACAGAAGCTGGTTCGAGACGTGCGAGCTTCTCCATCATTGTGTTCAGCTCTTTAGAGTTCTTTGCACATCTGCAGTAATATTTATCTAGTTTGGTGAGAAGCTGTGATCAATCACACCGTCGCTAAATCACCAAACAGTGACCATCACTTTTCTAGGGGTAAGTTTTCGTTTAATGCATTGTTCAGGTGCTGAACCTGGATCCAAGCAACTTGATGAGCATTTTCATTTCTTTTTTGTCGTAAGTGACAATGTGGTTCAAAATTCTGTCATTTATATGCCTGTTGAGTACTGTAAGGCACGTCTCTTCAGGCACGCCTACTTCAGTCTGAGTTCGTGAGACACTTATTTATCAAGCTTTTTACCTTGTCAATTTGACACACATGGACCAATATTGTTTTGATGCTATCGTTAAAAGCTGCTGTAAATTCAGCCGTAGATTGAGTATCATCAGTTTCCACAATCGCCTTTAATTCGACCAAAGTTTCCGAACCACTACTGGGTTTATTTCGCAGGTCAAAATTTTCAGATCGGAATTGGGCAAACCAATAACAGGTGGTATGTGCGTTTGTAGAATTCACTCCGTAAACGTTGTTGATATTGCGTGCCGCTTGTGCCGCGTTGCTGCCACGATAGAACTCATATTCCATAATTACTCGAATTTTTACGTATCCATGATGACCAAAAAGTTTCAAATGCGAAGAAAACATAACCCTTATCAATAAACAAACGACTAATATTTGGTAACAAAAAATTCCATGTTTTAAAAATAAAATTAGATTTTAATTATAATTTTTAGCCAAACAAAAATTATATTGACTTAAAATGGGCAGTACTGCAAAGCCGCAATTTCATAGCTTTTATAATAACAATGTCTAGCAGGCGACTTTGACAGAATATGAATAGAAAAAATTGTATAGTCAATACTCAACATTTTTATGGCTTAATTCCTACATACTTAACTTTTTCTTAAATACTATATCCACTAATTTATTTTATATTGCATTCTATTTTCATACAGTTATATACATATTTTTATTGATTTTGGGTTTGGTGGCATGTGATTACGGAAAGGAGTGTTGAGTGTTGAGGTAAGTGTTCTTTGGAGTCAGTAAGGGCCATCATTTAATTTTTTTGCAAATTATGTCAAATAATTTTTACATTTATAACAATATTATGAATTATCAAAGTAACGCTTGATCTTCTAACTGTGTTTAATTGCTCGGATAAGTGGCATTACACGCGAGTTTTTCATAAACGCCGAGTACATAATCCCTTATAATTGCAATATCTGTGATGTAATATGGTATAAAACCTTATTATGTTATTTACATAATTAATCTGTAATGTTACGTGGGAACATGTATTAATTTACAAGCATTTATGAGAATGTGCAGCGTGCCTGCGAGGTGGCGGAGGAATGGAACTGGAGACGGGCAGCAACATCCTAATAACAATTCGTGGATACTAAAAATATTTATGAAATCTCGACTGGCCAACTCACTTGACAAATGTGGTTACTATCGCAAATGGCCCCTGTAAGTGATGAATATTAAAAATTCAATCATACACTTTTAGTACAATAATTTCAAAATACAAGAATTTCTTAACACATCTGTAAGCTTCGCAGCCGCCAAAAATAGCAAACATACCTTTTAAATTACATCCAAGAAGCAGGAAACTTATCAGCAACATATCGCAACCAGATATCGATAGGATTTCCTGCACCTGTCAACAAATAATAAATATTTTTAAGAATATAATAATTTTGTATTATTATTATATTTGGATAAAATATTTTGTGGTAGGAAGTATAACAAATTAGTAACCTAAAGTAGCAATATACCGATCATATAGCTCGAAGAACCGACAACCGATGGGAAAGAAAGGTTCTCCAGTGGTAGCCTTATACCAATAAGCGAAGGGGCGGCTCCCCACTAGATGTAGTGACGAACTGGTATGACATGCAGGAAGTTGATGGATGCAAGTGGCTCAGGTTCATGGTATGTGGTATTCCTTTGGGGAGGCCTATGTTCAGCATTGGACTTGTGACTAACTGTGATAAAAATTAAAAAGGATGACAAAGAGCACAGCCATCATCATCATCATCATTAGAGCCCTAGAATAGTCATCGTTGTCAACCCTAAGGACTAAAATCGAATGACAATTAAACTTTATAAAAGCGTAAATTTTCTGTATTCGCTATCTACAGCATGGTACCACGCATTTCACCAAGAGCACCCACAGTAGGACTTAACAGCACCATGCCATCCGCGCAACCGGAGTTATTGGAGCTAACGCCTTTTACTCTACCCCCCACTCGCATGCTGTTAATTCCTTATATGAGGTGTCACAAATATTGTATTTACAATTATTCGCCAGCGATATACACTTATTCAAACAGTTTATTTTACTCACTACTCTGTGCAAGCGGGTTGTTGAGTTACTTAGTCAGTGGGAATGTTTTTTTAAGCTATTGCATAGCTTCTATCGCGGGCCTTGAGCGCGGGGATCGAATCCAGAAATTCCGTAACGCAAAAAACCTCACACTCCCCACTCCGACATCAAAATGGTGCATCAAAATGGTTGGTGCTCACCGCGCACGGCGTATGTTGAGCCGTGTGCCTCCCCCTACATTTTTTAAAATAGATGTAGGAGAGCAAACCCTTGTATCGGGTATTTTGTATAAATATATTGTGAGCCTTTTCCAAGCGAGAGGTGATGAATAATAATAAATTAATAATGTTAACCTGATACAAGTGGAATAGGGACGTTTTATGTTCTTAACCTTTCTCGAGCCCTGTCTTTATGAACGGGGTTCTTTTAGCTTATAAGCTACTACCAACAGCTTTCAATTGCTCTAGTGAATATTCATTCCTCCAAAAGACACCTAAAACAACTAAGTTACTAAACAAACACAACGTAAATAAGGGTCCTAACTAAGACGATCACGCCAACAATGTTACAAACGGCCTATTACTAAACCTTTACGAAGATCATTTAGAAAGATCAAAACATATCTTATTTATCCTGGTCACAAATATATAATGTTAATTTAAAATGGGAAAATTACCTAATTAAACATATTCTAATATAGTCATTAAGAGGAAGGAAAGTTACAATATCAAATCTGGAATTTTACCGAGAATAGTTCATGTTGGAACTATGTCTTCATATGCATCAGGTACCTAATTGATTGTCAATGAACCAAGTTATTTCTAACTTTCCATCGATATTTGTCAATCCGTAATCTGTTGGTGACATGTTACTCATAGTTTTATTGTGTGCATTCCTCCGATATTAAATTGCGCGCAATATATTTTATTTGCAATAAGTGTTGCCGTAGTTCTGATGGGCGAGGTGAAAAGCAACATGCATCATAATTACGGACGCTTAATGAAAAATACTGAGACGTATCTTTTATTACGTATGTCTTATTGAACGTCTTAGTTGACGTCCGCTAATTTTATTCGATTATTACATTTTATTCAATATTTACATTTGCAAATATCTTCTGAAAAACTTTGGCATCTATAAAAATTGCAGAGGTTTCCCGTATCCTGTGTGTGTGCATAAAGAGCTCACAGTGCTAAAGAATTTATTGGGCGAAGTTTAGTATAGAGTGCGTTAACGACGTGTATTGTTAACTCCAAGATCCATCCATAGACGGTTTTTACAGATTATTTTTTTATTATTTTTGCATTATTTTATTCAAATAAAAAATAAATCACGCTCGAGAATGTCAAGACGTCTTTTTTGCAAATTTGTAATCCTCCCACTCCCTTGCGTTACGATCAAATCGTCAGAATTTCTAATTTATGAATATTTCACAATTTTTCACTCTTTTTAGCTGGTAATTAACCCACCTTATCTTATTCTGATGCGCTTTAACATTTCTGATTATCGATTTTTTACAAACCTGATGGACCACCCAGGCACGGTCCTATATAAAGGACTTATATATGGTAGAGATATTCAGCAGGGTGCCGGGTTCCTTATGTTCATCTGCCACGCTTAAGTTAATCCCAAAATCCCTACTTGGGCTCCCCTAATTCGAAGCTTCATTTTTATATAATAATAATCATCAAGTTAAAAATATGCTTTTTCACAGACCACCCTCTAACCACCGTACCTTACATTTAGAATTCGCTCTCTGTTATCTTTACAAAAAGAAAGATTTATAGCTCGAAGTTTGTAAAAGTGTCGTTAATAAAAGGGAAATGAGTTTAAAGTTTTGATACGAATTTAGAATCGTTTTGTGCTTATGTATTTAGGTGAGCGTTTTAGCTCATGGATTTTTTGATAAAGCATCTTCACTTTTACCTTCTTACAAAATAAATTTACGACAATAACATGGTAAGTTTTTAAAAAGAAAAGACTTTAAAAATGTTTGTTAACCCTTCAAGGGCCATAAAAATCCCAGGCATGCACCCGGCAAACCCCAAGTGGTCGCATGCTCCGCACCCACCCACAGCACTTAAAACAATTAAAACTTGTATTTAGAGACTACTTTTTTATGAAGAAGTTTAGCATTATAAAATCTTGTGGTCTAAACAAAAGTCAGGTTTTACTTCATTACAAAAAGATTTTATTGTATTTTGATAACAAAAAAAAAAAACGTACCAAGCGAATGTCGGCAGCGTGAAAATCACAATTATTTCTATATAATATATATATATATATATATATATATATATATATATATATATATATATATATATATATATATATTTACTCTAAACTATTCACGTAAAGAGATAAATTATATTCATACAAAAACATTCATTACAATTTTATAATAAAACAATATACTAAAACACTAATAAAACACTAGAATAATACAAAAATCAACATAATGACATTCACGCGAAAATGGCGTACAAAATGAACGTAGGTTATAAATAAATATTCATAGGACAGCAGTATTTTTATTACACTAGAGGATAGAGTATTTCATATTGATTATATAATGCCATACATGTACAGAAGACTGAAGAGTACAATTTGCCACTTTGCCTGGCGTATGTGGACTATGAGAAAGCCTTTGATTCCGTCGAAATTTGGGCGGTGCTGCAGTCCCTTCAGCGGTGCCAAGTTGACTGTCGGTATATCGAAGTGCTGAAGTGTTTGTACAGTAGGGCTACGATGGCTATCCGAGTACAGAACCAGAGCTCGAAACCTATCCAACTGCAGAGAGGTGTAAGACAGGGTGACGTTATATCCCCGAAACTCTTCACCGCTGCTTTGGAAGACGTTTCCAAGCTACTGGACTGGAAAGGATACGGTATTAACATCAATGGCGAGTACATCACTCACCTTCGATTTGCCGACGATATAGTCCTTATGGCAGAATCGCTGGAGGACCAGCACTATGCTCAATGACCTCAATGATGTCTCCCAACGGATAGGTCTTAAGATGAACATGGACAAAACAAAGATCATGTTTAATGTCCATGTCACACCTATGCCGGTAGTTGTTGGGAGCACTATGCTCGAAGTTGTTGACGAGTACGTTTACCTGGGACAAATAGTCCGACTAGGTAAGTCCAACTTCGACCGAGAGGTCAATCGACGGATTCAACTCGGCTGAGCAGCGTTCGGGAAATTACGACACATCTTCTCGTCAGGTATACCTCTATCTCTGAAAACTAAAGTGTACAACCAGTGCGTGTTGCCAGTGATGACTTACGGATCAGAGACGTGGTCCTTCACTGCTGGCCGTGTGAGGACGCTCAAGGTCGCTGAGCGAGCTATGGAGAGGGCTATGCTCGGAGTTTCTCTGCGTGATAGACTCAGAAATGAGGATATCCGCAGTAAAACCAGAGTGACCGACATAGCCCAACGGATTAGTAAGCTGAAGTGGTAATGGGCCGGCCATATAGCTCGAAGAACCGATAACCGATGGGGAAGAAAGGTTCTCGAGTGGCAGCCTCGTACCGCTGGCGTAGTGTAGGGCGACCCCCCACCAGATGGAGTGACGACCTGGTAAGATATGCAGGAAGTCGATGGATGCCGGTGGCTCAGGACCGTGCTTTGTGGCATTACTTGGGGGAGGCCTATGTTCAGCAGTGGACTTGTGAAGGGCTGTGATGATGATGAACATGATGATATAATGCCAAACTTCTTCGTAGAAAAGTAGTCTCAATATATAAGTTTTTATGGGTTAAATTGCATTAGGTAGGTGCGACCTCATGAGACCGCTAGGGATTTGACGGAATATGGCCGCGGTCTCATGAGACCGTTAGGAGGTTGAGAGGTTAAAATATAAATGAACACGAATGAGAATAGGAATGAGAATGAGGTGATCGCTTGCAAGCTGTTTCCTGGTAAAAGTACCAGGCTTTATATATGTATAATTTTACCTCGAACTGCTTTTTACTAGGAATAAAGATTTTTTCAGAAACAGTGAAGAATTACCTGTAAACTTCTTTGTTACAGAGAGTACGAGGGATCTGTGACAGCAAACACCTGGCCGCCGAACTTCAGCATATCAAGCAAGTTCTGCACGACAACAAGCTTCGGGTCCCGCGCCTACGTCACAGTGACCGAGTGAAGCCGGCCACAGTCGAACGTGTGCCTGCTGTACTACCATATGTCAGAGGTGTCACAGACAAGATTGGCTACATCTTGAAGCGAGCTTCTATTAGAACATTCTACAAGCCGCCGAAGAAGATTAGTCAGTTCCTACCATCAGTCAGGTATCATATTCCTCTACAATGAAGTGTAAGACTAATATGTATGCTCCTTTAGTTTAGTAAGTAAGTACGCTACTTTATAACCGTATGTATGCTGAGTTTGCACTATACCTTATATGCATTATTTTAGATTATTACCAGGCATTCATTAAATAGTACGTAACTAATGTGGTTGTTTCCTTGAATAACACTCATTAGGAACCCCAACATTACATGGCGACCCTGCCAGGATGACTCTGCCAAGGGGATTGTTAGTTTTAGTATAGTTAACATAACTACTTAATAATATATTATAATGTGTCGGTCAACTGTGGAAAAAGAAGAGGTTTTCCTCGGCCAAAACGCGGCTGGAGGCAACAATGACGCCACGTTGAAAGAAATCGGAGGCCACGTGGAGCGGCTTAGCATTGTGACCTATATTGTTCTGGCCATTATTGGACTCGTAGCAGTTTATGTGGGCCTGCGGATGTACAGGAGCTGCCACCGCACATAGATCCAGCAGGAAATTGGGATGAGTACCATGCAGAGAATCAGATCATCCATCAGAGGGCGCACAGGAGGTAACCAGAATCAGTAATTAGAAGTGAATGCATAGTGAAAGTGAAAATAAGAGTTGTGGGTTGTTAATTTTTTTCGTAAAAATAATAAATATCAGTGAGTGAGCCAGTTATGCGGTATCATATTTCATAACGCTATAATTCTAAAGGTGCTAAAACCGCGCGCGGACATTCTGTAATAAGACACCAAACGGAAACAAAATGCAACGTCGAACTTTTTTTTCCTTCGCATTTATGTAGAATGTGTTACATTTGTGCAATTCTATTATTAAATTAAGAATATTATGATTGATATTTTGGAAAAAAATTATGTTTGTTTAGTAGAAATACGTAATTATTTAGTAAAAAAGGGACAAACTAGATATAAGGGTAATGTTATTTCAACTAAGTTAGATCAAGCAAAAAGCGCATATGAAAACTGTTGTAAAATATATTTAATTATTGAAAAAAGTAAAGATATTAATTTGGAATCGGCAATAGATCTTTATCAGAAAATAAAACAAAAGTACGAGGAAATAGAAAAATTGTGTACTTTTCCCGTTACAGTAGATTTAGGCAAAATGGATTTTGACATAAAGGTGGCGTGTAGTTTGATTCCAGTAATGGACGGTGTAGAGGCCACCACTAAGCGCCTAATAGACTCAGTGGAGATGTATGCTGACATGCTGGACAACCCAGGTAAAGTATTAATAATTACTTTTGTTTTGAAAAGTCGGTTGAATGAAAATGCAAAATTACGAATTGCAAGCTCATACAAAACTATCCAAGAATTAATTGATGATATGAGGAAATATCTTTTACCCAAAAAATCATTTATGGCTATACAGACGAAGCTTCAGAATATTCAACAAGGCTCGAGATCCATTGAGGATTATGGTACGGAGGTAGAAACGTTATTTACAGAGTTGACAATTACTCAGGCAGATGGAAAAGAGGAAGTATTCTCGATTTTAAAACCAATCAATGAAAGTTTTGCCATAAAACGTTTTTCAAATGGCCTGCGTAGCGCAAA